AATCATTCCTTTGCTCTGCTCTTACCTACCTAGGGCCAGTGTCCTGTGCTTCCCCACCCGGAGTCCCCTGGGGGGCGCCACTGGGGGCGGCCGCAGAGGCCGGGCTGCCTGCCTGTCTGCATCCGGAGTTGGCGGTAGTGGCCTGTCTTGATGGCCACAGCGTTCTTTGTTCGCTGATGAGCTTGCAGTATTTTTCGTTCACAGTGCTCCCCCTTGGTCCTAAATTTGAACAATATTTTGGGAGACAATTCATGACCAGTTTTGTCCCATGGGGCTAGGCAGGTTTATTCCTAGGTCAGGTGAGGTTTCTGTTGACATGCCATTCAAGGTGGTAATTTTTGGATCAGTCCCTGTTGATAACCATAAATTCTCTGGATCACTTGTCTTACTAGTCTTATGATCCAGGAAACGTTTTTCCCTCGTTGCTCTTTCCTATACCTAGAATCACTCTGAGAATTATTCTATGCAGGGTTATAAATGTGATTTATTTTCTCAAGATGTTTAGTCATCATTAATCTTGTCGGCGGCCTAGTCACACATTGGATAATGGACGAGACAATCTTATAAAATAGAGAGGATGCGGGGAAGGTGCGGCTCAAGTGGCGGAGCGCATGCTTAGCATGCACAGCATCCTGGCTTCAACCCCCAGGACCCCCTCCAAATATAAATAAATAAATAAACAAACCTAATTACCTCCCCCTCATTTAAAAAAAAAAAAGGAAAATAAAGGCAGCCAAGGACAATTTAAAAAAATAAGATATAAGTAACACAGTTAGTAACGTTAATAAAGTCATACAAAGCATAACAATTTAGAAACGAAGAACAAATTAAAACAATGATTAGTATGACCAGATTGTAATCTGGTTGGAATAACCCTCAAGTCTACAGGAGAGCCAGATGGAGAAGTCAGATTCTGGAAGGATCAAGCAGAAAGAAAAAGATTAAGTATGCCTCTGTAAATAAGGATACAACATTTATCAACTTGTAGGTCACAGAATAAGAGGAAAGGCTTTCTGGAAAATAAAAATTAAAGGCAAGTGTGCTTATCAAAAGTCATAAGATGATCAAATCATATTTACCAGTTCATTCAGTCCCATTTACTTAATTCCTGTTTATCTTGATGAAGTCATCAGGTGTTCCATTAGTTTTATAATTTACCCAGTTCAGTGGTGTGAGCTAAAGATTATCAGAAACTTATATTTGTTTAAAAGTCCCTTTTTATGAATCTTCCTGAAGGTCTTCATTTTATAGAAGGATCAGAGTAAAACAATGATTGTTTGTATAAATGACAAGACTTAAAATGGCATAGTTACAGATTTGATTGCAATGCCATTGACAAGCAACTTGGATATTTCTGTGACCTACAACATTCTAAGATCATAATTAGAATTATGACTGATACCAGGACATATCAGATTTTTAAGAATGCCATATAAATTTTGGAATATCTGTATTAATGTCCTTGATCTCTTCAATATAACCTAAAGTCCATCTCCCACTACTTGACAATGCTTTTAAGTAATTTAACATACCGAACAAGTCTAATTAGCCTAATCTCTCTCTTTGGGGTGTTTCAGGGGCCCTCTAAAGCATCCCAAAGTTAGCTGAAGGTTAGAAGAACTTTAATCAAAGTTTGGTATTTGGGAAGCTTGTTAAAAAGTTTCAAAACACTTGGTCAGATAAAATTATAGGTCACTGAAATACCGCTTATTTACTCAACCAGAGTGACAGTGGTTTCAAAAACGGATACAAAGCAGTTAAAGGCACACATGATCTGTTATCAAAAAGTAGCACTCAAACTTTGGTCTCCTAACAGTCTTGTTCCAACTTACTTGTAAACAAAATCCATTTTCTTAGACTAAGTTTAGTCAATTCCAACTGTACGCAAAAGTCTTTTCTCCGGATTCCTTCTCCACAAGCCTTCCATCACTTTTTGTGTCCACATTATTTTGTCCTTTATTTCTCCCATCTAGAAACAATCAGCTCTAAGTAACAAAATGCAGTTTCATCCTTTATACCTTCTTTTGCTGAAAACATACACCCTATTTTTTCTACTATATTGTAAAGTGTTTTCTTCGTTATTTGTAGTAGCTTTAATTATACATTTAAATTAGAACACAGCTCTTAAAATCTTTAATTTCCTGTGAAAACTAGGAAATGTCAACTGAAATAAAAATCACACAATGTGAGAGTTGTGGGTTAAGTTTTGTTTGGGGCAAAATCAGGACTATAGCCCAGGAGACAGCATCCCAGACAGCTCTGGGAAACTGTTCCAAAGAGGCAGGGGGAGGACGCAGGATTACATGTGATGTCAGCGAGGGGGGCCGTGCAGTCAGGCGCACACTCAGGCAGAGGCCGCTGCTCGTCACAAGGAGCACATGTCACTGTTAATGATTTTAGTGCTTTTCTAGATATGAGGAGATGCAAGAATCGGGGTCATAAAATCTTCTCCTGGAAATATCTATCTGAAGGCCTGTTCAGCCGGTTTTCCCAGAGCACAGAGCACCTCATTCCTGACCTGCACCCTGAACTCCTCGCAGGGCGTGTTGGAGGTCTGCAGCTGCAGCGGCTCGTGATTTAATCCAAGCAGAGTCAGGTGGCAGGTGCCAGTGTGACCCAGTCCTTGTAGAGAGGGGTGGCAAGTGCCAGTTTTTAGTTAGCAGAAATAAGCAATTACAAACTGTCTTCTACATTTGTGTTCTATAGATTGGCAAACAAATACCAATAATAATTTCCAGAAGTATGCATTGTCTTATAGAAAATATTTCAGGGTGGCACCAAAGATTTTTTATCAATAGTCCCATATACTTTCAGCTTCCCTTCAAAGGGAAGCCAATGTTCAGTGATTAATTTGGGGGGGGAAATGACCTTGCTATTCAATAAACTTCCATCATTTAACTCATTTTAGCACAACTGGAGAATCAAGTTTCCAAATATTTGCAGAGATCATTCCAGGCAGACATTCCTGAAACAGTTATTTCTAAAGAGTTCACCCAAAAGCTCTTATCTCATTTGCATTTTACTTGTAAGAATTTTATCACATCTAATTATTTTGCTAACAAATTTGCCACAGATACAACAAGCTCTTTTGACTTTTTTTAACCTTAGGTACAATAAGAATATTATACTTGATGACTCTGAAGACGTTTAAATTAACTAGATCAACAAACTAACCTTAATACCAGGTATTAATTTAATATTCAGCCCACATGAACCTGAAGGTTAATTTGGCCAGTTTTTATGTTAGAAATATTTAATTTGCAAGTGCTTACTTCTAAGTCAATAGTTTATAAATTTTGATGATATCTTCTAGAGGTAGAGACATATCTATAATGTGTGCACAGACATAATCAGACAAAACAAGAGATCTCATAACTTTACATCAAAACTTAGTTATGAATTAGGGATTACACTAAAAATTTACTAGTTATAAATAACAGAATAAATTGAATTTGCTGGCTCAGATCACTAAGGCTTCCAAACTGTGTCCTTTACTATAGGTTTTACTGTTGAACTTATCAGGCTCAGTCTGGCCTCGTTTCTGATTTGTAAGACAAAGACAGATGCGTTTAGTTCTCCAAAGAACTGGTCTGTCACCCGAGTCTACCTGTATCTTCAATTTGCTCTTCTACATCAATGAGATGATTTCTAAATAAAGAATTCTGTGTTCTAGAAATTTATGGTTTATCATGTCTCCAAAGGCTTGTATAAGGCATTTAATAAAGGCCCTCTTTTCTTGAGTTTAAGTTAAACCTAGAGCAAATCTCTATTACTTTATTATATTATTTATTATATTATTCAGGGGATTTTTCTTTATCCTCTGAATATTAGTTTTTAGTTTATATTGTAAGGTTCAGGTGACCCTATTGGTTTCCTTTAGTATGTTTAATATTTCTGAGGGACACATCTATGTGCCCAGTCTTACAATACCAAGCAGGGGAAGCATTCCCTATTGAAACATATCTATCCCACAGCATAATTTATACGAATTTCTTTTGCTTAAGCCCATTTAAATACACCAATTTTTATAGATTTCCCTTTATTTCAGTTTTATCAACTCGTATACCTTTTAGTTTTTATTAGGTTCAGTCAACAAGTCTTGTTTTTAGAAGGAATCCTAGAAGCTTCTCTTTCTTTCATCCCCAGAGAGGACTTTGTAAGGGATGCAGGCCCTTGGCTATCTTTAAATTTTGATTTATTGGTCTAACTGTTGCCCCAATTATTGTTCAAATATCTCAGTGTAGTTTTTTTCCAGCCCTATAAATATATGCATTTTAAACTGGGTTAAGTAGAGCAGACTTGTTTGGACTTTAAATGTTGGGGACCAGTAGGGAGCCCCTGCCTATTTAACCTTAACAGTGCAGCATCAAAACGTTAGCATTTTAATCCATAAATGTCCATTTTATTTATCCTGTTTTAAATAACCATCTGAAAAAAAATTGTATCCATTTGGGATAACTCCTTAATTTTTTTACCTTGTTAATAATAAAAAAAAAACTTTAGACTTTTTTCTACAGTTTTTTTTCCAGCTACTCAACCTAACTAACATTAATTATTGTAATGTTTTTGTTAGCATCGTAAGACCCCTTGAGGGGAAGGGGTGAGAACACAAATAAGGCTTTCAAAATTGATTTTTCTTTTTGTTTTAAACTAAGGGCGTTCTTAGGTTAACCGTTAGATATATATTTTTTTCCACCTTTAAATTTGGTTGATTTTTATAGGTACCAATAAAATACTGTTTATAATGAGAGCTCTCTAAACTTTAATCAATTTAGAAGTTTCTCCACTCCAATTTAAAGGATCCGTCATCGGACCAATGGATATAGTTACTAGTAGTGATTTTAAAACCAATAAGATGAAGAGATTTCCCCACAAGAGAGTAGGGGGCACCACCTAAATAAGATTCAAATGTTTACTCCCCAAAGTGTAAAGGCCTTTGTGGTCCAGGCTGATGCAGTGAAGGTCAAAATGGCAAAAAGCCTGAGAACTGGTACAGAGGATTGCTCAGAATCGCAGTCTGTTATCTTGGCTGCCATATATGTACCATACTTGTATACGTTCTGGATGGCAGAGACCAAGTTTTAAAAAAAAAAAAAAAACCCAAAACAACAACAAGAAAATGTACACACAAAAAAAACTGCCCAGAGAAAGACAGAACATTTGCATTTCAAAGGCTCTGGAAGAGAAATGCAAGTCCCTCTCTAGAAGGGGTTTTGTTTTTGTAAGGTCAGAATTCTTAAGTTTTTTTTTTTTTAAATCAGGATGGCTTTTTTTTTTTTTTTAACTTAACTGTGTAGGCAACAAAAGAGCCCAGGTTCATTATTTTCAGGTGAGATTTCCTTCAATTTCCAGTTAAGTTAGTCCTTATAAGTGTTGTTCATGAACCTGGCTCAGATCCTTAGTTGGAGGCTGACCATCTGTCATTCCTTTTTCTTTTTTTTTGAAGGTTACATTCCCCATTTTAAGATCAGTTTGTCAGAATAAACTCGCTAGTGGGTGTCCCCACAGGGACAGCTGCACAGCACGAGATCTTTGCCTCCATCACTCCTGCAAGTTTCTCAGTCACCTGAGAAAGCCACTGCTGGCCAGGAGGAGGGTCCCGTCTTTAGAGCCGAAGGGCTCTCATAAGATTTTGGTTTTATTTCAACAAACTCTGTCAAGGTAGCCTATTCAAGGAAAAACCACAGGCCAGTTTTTCCCCCTAATTACCCAGTCCGAGCCTCAGGATAAAACTACTCAGTGTCTAAATGGAGCAAAATCTTCCCAGTGCTTTCCCTGAGGATAACCCAGGTACCTCTTCTCGAAACTAAGTTTCAAGGATAAACTCCTCAACTTGATCTTCCAAGAGGAGTTTTAACACCACTGAATAAAACTTAGGATCATTAACCAATAACAGGAGATCCTAGAATCAGGAGAGACTCACCCAAATTTGGACTCTTCGAAAAGTCAGATGGGCCCAAGAGGCCTGTGCTGGTACCAAGGCTCCAGGTCCTCATAGAGTTCAGGCGAAGGAGAGGAGTCTGCTCTGGGTCCCTTCGTAAATGGTCACCAAAACTGTTGACTGAAATAAAATGCACAACCTAGAAGTTGAGTTATGTTTTATTCGGCAGACATTTCTGAGGTCTTAAGATTTAAGCCCCGGATGCCAGCCTCTCAGGTCACTGAGGGTCTGCTCCGAAGAGGCAGGGGAGGAGCCAGGATGTACAGGAGTTTTTACAATAAAGATGAGGGAGTTGGAACAGGAAAAAAATTACTGTTAAAGAAAACCAGACATCTCAAGTTAAAGAATTTAGTGCTTTTCTATGTCTGGGAAGGTGCAAAATGTCTGGGCTCATTGA